TCCTGAACTAGTACAAGAGATGCTACTGAATTCTTCAGTTCACAGTTCTCCGTGAAGCTAAGATGAGCAAGTTGATGCAAAACAGCATGCAGCCCAAAGTCCTTAAATTGCTGTATTTACTAAATTACTTTGTGATATAGTGACATAGTACTTTCAGAGGTCTTAATCTGACTGTTTTTAAACCAACTATTAACCACAAGCTGGTATGAAACTGGCACCAAAGGAACTAAACAGCAAGCTTTCATGCTGCTATAAGCACCTATAAAATAATCGGTAAACTTCTAAGTTCAGACTTGACAGAGCGCTTGAGCCAATTTAAAGTATGTAAGAAGTCCCTCTGGCTTACATCTGCGAAGATGAGGAAGGAAAAGAACACTGCCAACTTATGAAAATATGTGAGAAAAGCTCACTCTCTGGAAGTGCATATTTACTAAATAATATGAACTAATTACAAACAATTCAACTGAAGCTTTCTGAATCCTCTAATACAGTGGCCAGAGAAAGCTTTCGCAAATATAAACTTGAATCTACTTAGACATAGAATCAGATTATTTGAAACCTGATGAAAAAGCTATAAAACACCTCAAAACCCATCAGGCATCAAAGGGCAGGTGATATCTTCTGCCATTTGACCTCTTACCAGTTTCTCACACCTGGGGATTGTTTTAACCTTTTACATTTCCACTTGTTGCTGATGTATATTGATATATTTTGGGGCAGGTGGGTGGATCTGTTCCTTTAATCTTGGGAAATCAAGCCTGCAGACATCACACGTGGAGGCTCCAGGTAATGCTAGACATCGAGGGCTCCTGTGCTTTGGCAGCAAAGTGTACCTGCCAGGAGAGAGGGTATTCTGCCCAGTTAGTAAGAATCGATTAAAAGGAGAAACTGAGACAGGCTCTAACAACTCCTCCATACAATGAGTGAAGGGTAAGACAGCAGCGAAGGTCCCTTCAGCACCACCAAATCCTCCGAAGGCAGCTACAGCACTAATCCTTCTTCCCCATTAGTAGCACTTCCACCACCATTCCTGCACCCAGTGTGTTTCCACTCACTATCAACCCTTTACTATACATTTACAAGGAGTGGGTAGGGTAGAGTAACAGGGTTCTTCCCCACAGCACAAACTAGGAAATATTCAGCAAGTTAGCATGAATTAATAATTCAATAGTTTATTTTAAATGGAAGAAATCACATCTGCAATAATTACATTTTCTGCATTTTGAGTATGATAATAGACAACGCAAAATGATGTAAACATTTTAAAATGCAAGAATAATGCAAAATTACTTCTGTTACAATACAAGGCAAATGTTGGCAACTAGCAGCATTTAAAAAGCAACAATAGGAAACATATGAGATGATTTAATTTATAATAATTATATTTATATAGCATAGTAGAAATGCAACTGTTCTGCAGGTTTTTTCTCATTGTAAGACAAGAAAAAGATCAATTACATATAGTCAAACCTATGAAAGAGTAACTAATCCACAGCATTCAAAAATTAGCTTTGTATACCAATTTCCAGACAAAATGTAAATATGATCTGACTTCTTGTTGAGCATATTGCTCTAATTTTTGTAATACTTGTTTTGTATTTTTTGTATTATGTATGAGAAAATTACATGTTGTTGAAATGCCCACTTCCTTTTAAACACTGGCACCATTAAATTAGACCTATATTAACAGTCACCATTTGAGGGAAAAAAACCCAAAACCAACAAAAGTTGTCATTGCAGTGGGGCAAAATCCTACCTTGAAAAATGAAATAAATAAAAACAGAACTACAGCAATATAAACCTAAAAAGGCTTTCATAAAGCACATAAATTTCCTTTAGGAAAAAGAGTCTGCAAATGTATACCCAAAGCAAGTGTTAAACAGTTGTATATCATTTGAGTTTAGGAGCTAGTGTTATGACATTTGATTTGTATTTTCCAGGTAACACAATAATGTTCACTGAAAACCAGTAACTATGGGGCAACATTCATATATATATATACACAAATAAGTATATAATGTTTGTATATAATTACCTTCAAGTAGGCCATTGAAGAGACATTTATTCTGATAAAATTACTCAAAGGGCAACTATACATATTTTGCATGAATTGCTGGAGAATGGCATTACCAATTAGACTTAAAAAAATCTTTTAGACAGCAGTTTCATTTCTGAAAATGGAAATTCATTAAAAATTATAACAAGAATTAAAGAAGCTGGAATCAAATCCAGCCTTCAGATTATTCCCCTAAGAAAAATTGTACTGTTTATTTTCTAACCATTTGACTTGACAATAAGTTATTTAGGAATGTTTTGCTGATGAAACCCAGACATTGTAGTAAAGAATTAAATATAATTATATCATAAAAAGACAGACTTGAAACTTCAAAATAACTTGGAAGAGTGATTGTGTAAGCAAGTACTAGGACAGATGTAATGCGATTCCAAAACTCTAAGCAATTAGCTATTTTTTTAAATTCATTTGAGGCTTATTAATCCAAACTGTCTGGAGGAGTCATTGATACATGGATTCGCTTGACTATATGTATTCAACCCTCAGTTTTTCATCCAGAAACAGGTACCAGTGACATCAAATAAACAGAGCAAAATTCACAAAGTGCACAGATCCTAAAGTGTGTTAATACCCTCTTGGGACGCTGAATGGAGGAAAACACAGGAAAAGTTTAGATCATAAACGAAACCAAAAGACAACTCAGAACTATATAGTTAATATGCAAACAAAAGTTGCTGTATTTCCACATTCGTAACTGCATTCTGTTTACAAAGTTTGGATTTAGGGCTTTCAAGTTAAGTGTTTGTATTTTTATACAGAACAAGAAAGAATTCTCTCTTTGATAAATCTATGGTACCACGCAGAGTTTTATCCTTCCTCTTAGGTCTGGGTTTTTAAATTTAAAGCCCTCAAAATATTACAATCAGCTGTGGTGCTGGAAGAAGGAACTTTGATTGCAGGATTCACACCTTCTTAACCAGCTGAGATCAGGTAGTCAAACCACATTCTTAACTCTACAAGGAAGAGACAGAATCTTAATAAACTCTCCTTTAGCATTTTTAAATGGTCAACAATGCAGTAAATTAGATTGCCCCTAACCTGGAACAATCCTGCAGCAATGAAAAATGGACAGGATAATAGCAATAACGTTATGATAACATCTATTTTTTGGAGTATGTCTCAAGTATTTAGGTACTAACAATCTACTAATGTACATATTAATGGCACATGTTAGTCATAAAAACTGACCCTTTTTTGCAAGATAATTGTAAAAAAATGTTTTAATGGTCATGAATTACAGATCCAAGTCCTTCCTGTTGACTATATCATTGAATTCCATTGTAAGACCTTCTCACCCATAAATCTTGCTACACAGTAAATTTGAAAACCTATTCTCAAGTATTCAAATGAAAACAGGCACTCTGAATGCATGTGTAGTAATACATAATAAAGAAATTCAGAGCAAAGCTTTTCAGAATCAAAATTTAGTCACCAATCCAACAGCAGAAGTTATTTTAGCTCTAGTTTTGTTTTTAAATCATCCACACCAATGAAGAACCCTTAACAACGGCATTCTTAGAAATCATATTTTAAACACTTTATGGAAGGCATTGTTTCCTCTACAGGGTTTAAGCATTGCCTATCATGATCAACTAGCTAATGTGGCATTTAACTCATAAATAAGAAAAAAATTAGATGCTGTTTGTTTAAGTAAAAAACATAGAGTTCTGACCATTCTCAGAGACATCGTTTTTGTTTATCAAATCCTCAAAGTCACAGACTTTGGACCTCCAGATATCTATGCTGAATAGCTAAAACAGATAATGTCTGAAGAAGGACTGTGCCTGAACTGCCTGGCTTGAAGCAGGAGAGATGAAATGCTAGACCCAGGAACAGGATATACTGAACACTGAAGTATGAAGGCCCTACACGGAAAGCTTCCATCCATACAATGGACTTTAGGGAAAGCAGACAACTATGAGATATATATATGTATTCATTGGAGGCAATTTATCCACGCAAAGAAAGGAAAGACATAAAGTGCATCTCTGAGATTAAATGCACATTTGGCTACTTGTTATCACTTACATTGCAGCCAAAAACCAGATTAAAAGATGCACAGTTTGCATTTTGCTTCTTTATTGCTATGTTTTTCTATTTGTTTTGTATAGTGTACATTTTTTTGCTGTTGTGCCTGTGTGACCATCTTTCTTACATCAATATTTTCTTTTGAAGACATATATTTCTATTTATCTCTGAAACAGTTAACTGGACAGGCTACTCCTTCCTGCATGTTTTACTACTGACAACTTGTGATAGGCATTAGGTCAATAAAATTGGTGATTTTCATATGCCATATGTATCCTTAATATTCAAAAGAAAAGCTTGTTCTATCTTGCAAGACTATTATCGACAATCACTCACAATATTGGTTGAAATATCTGGTCACAAAACTAAATTTACTCATCTTGCGTGACAGACCATTTTGTCCTTGGATTAGATCTTAGCACCACAAAAGCATTTAGCCACCCCATTTCATGTAATGATGTTAAATAATACATAGCTTCACTTCAATGGTTTATGGTTTTAACTTCTGCTCAGATTCAAATTCAACTCAGCAGCACAAAAAACAGATTTATTTTAGTCTGAAAGAAAATGAGCCAATCAAAATACAAATTTAAGCCAATTTCAAAGTTCTACTAAGTACAAGATGCCTTTGTATTTAACATTGCTTGTTTCACAAAAAAAAAGCAAAGTTTTATTTGCTAGTGTCCAATAAAACCAAGAACCTTAGCTTCTGTTACCTCGTTATTTTGCTGTATAAGCCATTTGTTTAGTAAAGTGATTCCTTTGGAGATAGCTGATATCATTATCATGATCCAAGAGAAGAACAACTATTACAGATGTGATATTATTTTAATAAAGAAAAATATTTAAAATTTGTAATGAGCATACCCAGAGTTTTCTTTCAGTACTCCAGAACATTCTAAATAGAAGGCTTACTTCTTTTGGTTTTCTTTAACTTTGAATAACCTTCTTCTTTCTGTTAAAAAAACAAACAAACAAAAGGCAAAAAACAGTAAAGCAAACAAAGCAGTAATACAAAGCTAACAGCTCAATTAAAAAGTTGTTTCTGAGTGAAATGTTAGTTGAATGAGAAGTAATTAATGTAAGTTTTTATTTTCCAATGTAAATATAATTTAAAGCATGTTTATCTGTACAGTGGAAAAATAATTAAAACCATAGCTATTTTGAAAATACCCTTTCACGTGCGGGCAGCTAAAACTTTCAAAATGAACTGATAATTTTTGGTGCCCAAACTTGAGATAATGACAAAACAAAAAGATGACAAATAAAATCTGTTAACAAACACAAATTTAGGGGAAGAATCTGAACTATGGATATACACTCTTAAGTTCTTAATTAACAGTTAATGACTGCATTTGATATGGTAAGTTTATATAACACAATATGTGACTAGGCAAAGACATTTCAGGTTGAGCATGGGTAATGAGACCTCAAATGGTCATGTGGTTGAGATGTAATATAAAAGGCAAGGGAACTTGGATGAAAAGAAAATTAAGTGTGTGCAACTTTTCCTCCTTCTGGCTTATTTTGTAGAGTTATTGCACAGTACTTTCTGTTGGCTATTACCACAAATAATAGATACATATCTATGTAAGAAAACAGACTTGGACTGAGCATTGGAGACTTGGGACCTGTTCTTTCTAATGCACCTAATTTCTAGGTAGTTAAAACATTAAGAATGTGGTTGTAAGGGGAAGGAGACAGGAGATACAGCTGAGTTTTAAAAAACTGAGTTTTAAAGAACTGGTGTTTGGAAACAGAAGTGTAGCCCAGTGGTAGGTGAAAGCAGTATTTAAGAATCATGAAAAAATATTTTAAAGAGGATTTTAAAAGTACACACTACCATCATTAGAGAGGAATTCAGAGGAACAAGTATTAAAAAACCCAAATGGTATTAGGAACCCATATAATTGCTGCTGTTCGCCCTTTCTAGTAAAAGAATAACAACTGAAATATATTAAATAATTAAGAGAATATACCTTTTAAAAACACAGAATGAATTAAAAATAGCCTTTTAGAATGTATTTCTACAGAACACTGCTGAATTCAAGCACTTAAGATGAGACACTTACAGAGCCAATGAGAATGCCCATAGTTATAATAGACAGGATAAAACCGTTTTCTGTAGAATTTGAAAATCTGCTTCGGAAACATATTTACATTAAGAAACATTATTAAACATTTTCATTTTATTAGCATCTTTTTCAGGAGAGAGACATTTTAAATGCACACTTGAAGTAACAGTAACATAACCAATGGTTAAGGTTAATTTTATCCAGAGTGGTCACAATAAGATTTCTTGGTTTCCATGTTTTAACTGGAACATGCTAAAATGAAAAAACAATTCCTATTTACCTCTTAATTCAGGCCCTTGTAGACTGGATTAAGGGGTGGAGGGTAAGGGGGATTTACCTGTCGTCTTCTGGCACAACCTTTCTTTACAGGTGCTTCAATGTTGTTCTCCTTGATTGATAAGGTCGGTTTTGAGGTCAGGGTTTCACATGTCAGATACTCATTGCCTGTAATCATCTTAAAGTATAGAAGTTTATACCTTCATTAGCCAGAAAAACTCTAGTATTTTTCTACTTGTTAAAATGACCTACTTTTTAAAAGATGCCCTCATAACACAAAGTTGAAATAAACTTCCAAATTGCATTTTATAGGCAAAAAAAGCATTGTGATAAGCACAACAAATTTAATCTAATGTGCCCAATCTGTGGGGTATCATCCTCATAAAAACTGCACTGAAATTGGCCCATCTATTTATTTTATTGACATGCAGACAGAATTGTAGAAAATTTAAGTTGTGAAGTACCTCTAGAGAGGTCATCTAATCATAACTTTCACTCAAAACAGAGCTAACTTCAAAGTTATATCACATTGCTTTGGCCCCTATCCAGTCAAGTTTCGAGAATCTGAAAGGATAACTCTACAACTTGTCTGTGCAAATTGTGCCAGCACTTAACCACTCTCACTCTGAAGATTTTTTTTTCCTTATGCCCAGCAGGAATTTTTCCTGTTACAACTTGTGCTTTTAGTGAAATTGTAATCAAACTTGTATTCACAAAACTTCCATGTTTGTCTAACAGCACAATGCCTTACACACACTGCAGCCAGCACTACACAGCTGATGAGGTTTGAGATTCCTTCAGGAGCTGTTCATTAATATGGTTTCATATAAAGACAGACTGAACACTGAAAATTTCACCACGGTAACCTCACACAAATCTTGATAAACTGATAAACTGTCTTAAAGAAAGGAAAACTAATTATCCCACCTTAAAAGTCCCAAATTAAAAAAGTGAGTATCTCAGACAACACAGTAAATCATCCTCCGTTTCAGAAAAAAAGCAGCAGTGACTGAAAACATTAACTTATATGCTAGAAATTTTAGAAAACTATATTGAGAATGATGGTAGAACATGATGAAAGTCATGCTCTTTATTGCTTAATGTCATTTTAGAATATTTGTGAGAACCAGTGAGAATGAATCCTGTTATTTACCGTACCTGTTCAAAGTTAGATTTGGAATGATGACTGGTTGTCCTAGTGATATAGTCCTTAGAATGCCATGCTGCTTTATTTTCTTCATTTTTGGTGGTGCACACTGTATCATTTAAGACAGGTTCATGAATATTTAACCCTGCTCCTTCATTTGATCTCTTCGTTTGTTGCTGTGATAAACTGGAATTTGTTATTTCATTGTCCAATTTACAAATCTGTAAATGTACTTTCTTTGACTGGTGTTTCTCAAGAACTTGTGTGGTATTTTGACTTGCAAACTTTTTTCCCCTTCTTGCACTGGAAGGAGATGCGCAGGTATTCAGACTACTCAGGTTGATGTTCGATTTCTGAAGCATTGACCCAACATTCTTAAGAAAGCAAGGAGAATTTGCCTTTTTGTGATTGACTTCACTTGAATTCCCACCTGAAGATGAGTTATCAGAAAAATCAGAATTAGTCATTTGTCCACCAGACTCTGTTTTCCATCGAAATACAGGTATACCATGGTTCGCATATGTTTTCATGTTCACTACTTGAAGTACGTTGCTATGAGTAGGATTTTTAACTGATATATTTTGAATGGGTTTGTAAACCTGAGTTATGCTGGACCTGCGCACAGCCAGCATAGAAGATGAAACACCCATAACTTTTGGCGAATGTCTTTCAGCATTTTCTCTTTTCTTGCCATCCATTTGATTTGTGGTCTTTCCATTCATTTGCATCAACTTTCCTTTGAAAATTGGTATAATTTTGCTGACTTTTTGGGGTGGGAGTTCAAAGGCTAAATTTACAGGCATTCCGGAAGATTTCACAACTGGTAACTCTGGTACTCCTGGTATTTGCCTATTATTCATTAATTTCTCTGTTGCTTCAATGCTAACCTTTTCCGTACCCTTGCTGCTACGAGAGAGAGTGTGTGTTCCTGGCTCTTTGATCAAACGCTCCATCCAGTGGCTGTTTTCCATACTGCATGGTGAAGAAATTCTAGGCAAAGTCTGTTTCCTTGGGGGAGCCTGCGTTAGAGATACTACACAAACCATCTCACCAGCCAATTTCATATGCTTAGATTTTATTTCCTGCAATACAACAAGAGTTGCTAAACTGAATTAACTGGATTTAAAAATCTGATGGTGCCACCTAATGCATCACTATATGATATCAACCTAATACACATCACAATATATAACCATATATTTTCCTGTTTTGAATTAGAATAAACTATATTTTTAAACAATATTTTGTTGTCACTATAAATGAAGATCTGCTTTCTCCTCCCCCCAGTCCTTTGTTTATAAACTGCTGGAATATCATATTTCTCAGAAGGAAAGACTTAAATTACAGTCATTATCTTGGTTTACTGCTTTCCAACTGGAAAATGCCTACCCCTTTTGAGGGAGTCTGCAGAGAGTTTGACTGACAGGGCTCATCGTCTCTTAAGACTTCTAAGAGCATCTGTATTCTCAGCAAAAGACAGTTTAGATGTCTATAAAAACTGCAGATGACAAAGAAGAGCCATTCTAGCTTTGATCACTGAAGAGACATAAACAGGAACCGCTTTCTGAAAGAGGATTATAGTATTTTAGAATCTCTGCATTTTCTGTCACTATTCTTTGTTTAGAATTAATTACTTCATTTCTTTCACACACTGCTACCAAAGAAATTTGAGTCTCAGCCTTTGTCACAACCTCAAAGTAAAGAGGTTTTGATTGTTTGCCTCCTTTCCATCACCAGCCATGGAATAAATCTTACAGCTTGAGTGTTTTAAAATGCATAAAGTCCACAGAACTTTGTATTTTTCTTAGTATTTAAAAATTATTATGATTAGCTATTTTTATTACTGTTGTTGTTGGTTTTATTATTATTGTGGAAGAGGTGTGAGAAAGTTCTGGATATCCACCTATAAGATAAGGTCCAAGGAATTGCAAATATTGATAGCAACTAATTAACACTAAGTCCGATTTTTTAATGTATTTTTCACGTGAACAACAACATAACAATGGCAAATAGCAATATAATATTTAATTACATACTTAATTAAAAGCTACATGATTCATAGTTGTTTGTTGTGAAAAGCAGAGTTTTACACTCTTACTGTGTTCTGAATATGATAAAGACCACTTTACACCATGAACAGGGTACACATCATTAATATATTTTTAAAAAAACCTTTACACGCACCGGAGCCCTGGAGAGTTCCTGTGTAGCATAAAGTGCTTGACTTGTCATCTTTACTGGAAATCCACATAGATGTGAAAGATTACGCTTCATGTCAGAAAGAAAAGAGTTCAACACAGTTTCTGAATCTGTTCTAGGGAAATACTGTACTGGCTGACTTCGAATGCAACTTAAAGGGTACCTGAAAAAGTGTTCAGGGATACATAACAAGTTTCTTTACATTTCTATAATTATGAATCATGTTCGTTGAGAAGAAAGCATGAACATATGTAAAGGTTTTTCAAAATGGTGAACAAAAGTACTTACTTTCTTAAGGGATTGAAGCTTATAAAGTTACAGGACTTCAACATGATTATACCATACTAACCTACCATAGTAAAGATTACTCAATATAAGTAATCTTTAGTCGAGTCTTTCCTAGCAGGAAAACCCTCTTTAAAACAAATCTTTGGTGGCCATATTTTTACAGGAATTAAACTATTCCTTTTACATCACCAGGTAAATTATAATTTGTACATTATAATTAAAATTAAATCTAAATAAATTTAATTAATTGAATTACCATGTTTACTGAAGCTGTGAAGCAAACTGTTCTATTTGACTTACTATTAGTCAAGATGATGACAAAGAGACTTGAGTAAATATTTTGTTTCAATTTGTCTAGTGAAACAATTCTCCACTGACTTTCTATGAAATTATGGAAGAAGAAAATGTGGCACATTCAAAAATGAAAATTTAGATCTTTGCTAGGAAATGTAACAAAAATATTCTGAAAGGATACGTAAAGAACCTTTCCCCTATTGGTTTGAAGTAAACACTGAAATATATTTTTGTCTCTTCAAGATCCTCTGGAAGAATATATCCATACTGAAACAAACAAACAAATGTGTGTTACAAATGCAAACTCAATAGGTACAAGAAAGGGAGGGAAAAACAAAAGCAGTGTGTATTGTTTCTTACCAGATTCTTCCAGTGCATCTGAAACTCTTTATATGAACGGAAAGGAGATTCTGGAGGAATTATGTGGCTGATATTTATGATCTGACCCATTTTCATGCTGTGCATAGGTAAAGAAGGGATGCTTAGAAAAGGATGTCATAAAACTCAGCTGAAAATATACTGGACTTTTGGGGAAAAAAAGTAAATCTTATTTTGGCATTGAAAGTATTTATGGATTATTTTTATGTTTTGAGGACTAACATCTTTAGCTTTTAAGTTTGTCACAGAACTATAGCAATATTTTCTGAAGTAGGGAAAATAACTTGGCACTTACAAGTCTAACTTCTCATCTGTAATTCTCACTACCAGTGAATGTAGAAGAAAAACAATATAACATTACTGATCATATTTTTATGACGAAAATCATAGATGAAAATAGAGATAGTTTGCAGCAAAGGTGGAAATTTGTTTTTTCTTTAAATTGACACTTTCTGCTAAAATTACATTGGCGAAAAATTAGTGCTTTTGCATATCACAGAAGCAGCAGAGAGATTACTAAAATTTAAATAATATTTAAATGAGTAATTTATGATTCACTGGTTAATTTTTCTCATTTTCCATAACCTTGAGACCATAAAAGTAAAAAAGAAAGACTCATGAATGTAAAAAAAGACTGTAAAACAGAAGTGTTCTCATCATTAGTATCAAATTCACAATTTGTATGGCAAATATTCCAGGAAATGTTTGTTTCTACTGAAACGTAAGCAGACTCCTACCTTGGTAAAACATAGCACCAATTACTTAATATGGAATGTTGGTGAATAACTGTATTTTCATTGCTGTCAAACAGCTTTAAGGTGTTTGCTGAAATATCAAAATCTCCCAGCTTGAAACAGAAAAAAAAGTTATTTGCAAATATTTCTACAGCAGTAAAAATTATAATTTTCAAAAATATTTGTGTATCACAATACAGTGAAGATTATACATTATTATTCTTTTATCAGCTCTCACAGACTATTTCAGAAGATATTCCCATTATTGAATTGCACACTATCTTATGTTAAAGCCTACACTTCCAGAAGTTACGAAGTAGATTTAAAGGCTATTTAAATCAGTGAGATTTAAACTTTATTTGAAGTATTTTACTAAGTAAGAGTACAGATGGAATTTCTCAAACTAAGAAATGTCTCACTTCCGTCCACATTTTTTAAAGTTCAAATCAAAACCCCACATTTGACAGCCTAGTAGCTGCGTATGCCACCTTGCCTAATCAATTGCAAAGATCCAAGCAAAAGAACTAACGGGACATACAGTTTCACCTTGTAAGAAGCCAAAAAACACAACACATTTTCACAATGTGAAAATATTTAACTGTAGGGGCCAATCAAACACTGAGATTTGAGAAAAATTCTCTCTCTCTGCGGTCTACCAGGATTAGCATTTATTCACTGACAAGAAAATCTGGCCATTTCTGTTTTAGAAAAGTATTTAAATGACCAAACTGATAATGAAGCCACATCATGATCGCTTCCATCATTGCTTTGTGTCATTTTGGAATTGGATTGCTATAGAGAGCTTTAATGTTCATGCTATCCAACTAGGTCACAGAAGAAACCTTATTCTTCAATTCTAAGAAAGAAGAGTTTGGAACAGAAATACTTGTTTTGGAAGAAAGCAGCAAGCCTGACAAATATACCCCTGTATGTATAGACATATTCAACAAAGGTGACATGGCTGTCACAAAGGATGGCAATTTTTCAACCTCAACCATGATTTCGTAAACAATTTATTAATTATGCTTACAAGCAGCATAGTCCATGCCCCTACAGTATTTTGGAAGCGGCATCAAAAACAAAGCAGATTCCAGAATAATTATATACACGAACTTTAAAGGTAGTGCTGATAACTTACCTGTAGCTTCACTTTTAAGATGTTATTCAAAACTGTCTATGTATTACAGTGAGACAGTAAATACCTTGTAAAAAACACTGCTAGAAGGAAATCTAGAATCATAAAGACACTTCACTACTATATTCTGTTAGCATTTTTAAAAAGGTCTCAATTAGTTTAGAATCTCAATTTTACAATGCTTGCTAGAATGCATCAATATAGATATAATATAGATGTTATGCCCTTATAACAGATGCAGATAGTCATTGAATATGATTACTATCTTAATGCAATCACAAATAAGCACTTCTATCCCCATCATGCTAATTGCAAGTCACAGAAAAGAAGACAAAAATTAGTAAGACAAACATGGTCATAAAAAAATATAACTGTTTTATACCTGAGGGGGTGGCAACCGAATTGAGCAAGCCTCCAAACTAATGCAAAGCTGTCTCTCTGATACATTGAGGTCTATAACTAAAATAAAAACAACGCACAAAGTCCTGTTTTGAACTACAGTTCACCTGTTAGACAGAAAGCTAAACCAAATGTTTACTTAAAGTAATTGTTAGTCAAAAGGCTGCATTTGAAAATCAAAATGCTAGACTTCTCCAGCATGGAAATTAAAATTAATTGTACTTTAACTGTGAAAAATTCAAATAATAATGAAATACCATCCATACAGTACACCTCTTTAGGAACCCATAGCTGTCCATGCAACTGGATGCCTGATACTCATATCCTTGATACACAAACACCCATTTTCAAAGCAAATGTATTTATTATAACCATTGGCCGTACTGAGTCATCTAGCCCAGTATTACGCATCCAGAAGTGGTCAACAGGAAAGACTATATGAGCAAGGCAAGCAAGGCAAGCATTTATTGACACATCTCCAGAACATTCACCCAGCTCTGAGCAAGCTGTAGCACAGGGACTGAATGTATTACATTCCTCAACATATGTCCCTGTTGCAAATTTAGGTGCCAATATCCCCTAATGTAATATTTAACTTTTAAACTGGAATAAAAATATTACTTTGTAATTTTTGCAATAGCTAAACACCATGCTTTGTGACTTAATTTTTGTGAACAGCAAACAGTACATAGAGGACAGTCACTTTAGCTCACTTTCTTATCTATTATTATGGAACTTTCACATCACTTGCAAGACTCATAATTTGAAGAAAGTGCATTTAATTGTAATAATCATAACCTTTAAATGCTAAATTTCCTTCTGTGGCAGTAGATTAATGTAGAAAAATTACCTTTTTTTGTGGGTAATTTTTCAAAGGTGCAGTTGAGCTAACAACTATTACACACAGAGCATCATCTGTCATCAAGTGTATTTTGACTGAGGTTATTTCAGAATGAAAAACGAAAAGACATTGTGTTGGTAATACCAAACTCATGGCAGTATGAAAGCACATAACTATACTCACATATACTATATGCTCTCACAAGTTTACCGTTAACAGAACATTGTACTTACCGACAGCATTTTGCCTTCCTGAATGAGACAAAAAATCTTTTCCTTAATAAATAAAATAGATAAACATTATTTTCTAAACCATATCCCTAATGTCTTTATGAAAGAAAAAGGATAAATTATACAGTTTTGTTTGTGTGTGTCATGAATGATGAAAGGTTCGTTCCTTTTAAGGAAAGAACCCCCCCACTGTGAATTAACTTTTCACTATCATCTTATATAAAAAAAAAAGATATATAAAGTGGACAGCAATTTATATATCATTTTTTCCTCTCAGTAAGGAATGTACACATTACAATAGACAAGATAATAACATATACACTTTTCTCAATGTACATTTGGAATGACCTATACAATGGCTTTACTTAATAAGAGAACACCACATTATCTTAAACACCTCTGCTTCTCCCTACTTTGGTAATTCACATTTATCCTACACTGAAGTTAGCAGAGAGATGTCAGGCAAAGGAACTACCATTTAAAAAGACAGAGCTTGGTAAAGGGAGATGGTCTGACAGAAAAACACTTCTGTATTAGAAAAGCAGGCAAACCATGTGCAGAATTGTCACTGATAAGAGCATGAATCTGAAAAACAGACCCAATTTTTAGACATTTACTGTCCAACAGTATTTAGTTTGAAATTTCTTAATCTGGTATGTTGCGTTCAGTTGAAATAATTATTTGATCTATTACAAAGATGAGGAGGAAGATGAAAAAGTGAATGATATGCCCATTCGGATTGTTAACTTGAATCACTGAACTTGGATAAAGGAACAATAAAAATAAAACCAAGGGAAAAAATCATAGGACAAATGAATGAAATAATTTAATACAATGAATGAAATAATGATGGAAATTAAATTATGGAAAATAAATGCAACAATAAAGAACTGAAAACTAAATGCTTGATCCCTGACCAAAGTTAAATACCTTGCACCAAAAGATGACCAGCCTTGTTCCATCTGGGTGCAAGTCTGGCTGTAAGTGTGTAGGAGAGACAGGTTTGGAGAATGGCTGGACTAACTGTTTGTGGTGCTCCCAGCTAATAACAGCAGTGAGAAAAGAAAAATATATTATTAATAATTGAACAGATTTTTTTAAAGGCTTCAGTCAAATTTAATCAAAGACACTGCTACTGCATCTTGGATCCAAATCCTAGTGTATGGTACGCATCTTTACTTTTCATTTACAAGAAGTTGTTCGCACATTGTTTGATGGAGGCAATTAGATTTCATGCATCATCAAAGTAAGGTGCACTACAATTAGTTTAACGTTTTCACAAGGCTGAAAATAGACTTGGGGAAAAGAATAACTGAACTATATGGAGTACTTTAATAGATATGCTTCTCTTTCCACACAATAGGCATGACATCCAAAACTTACATGTTTTAACTCTGCTGTCAAACTCAAGACCAGAGACATTTTCTTGCAATCAGAAGAACAATAGACAAATGTAGCTTTGTTCACCCAGCAGTACTACTTCCCTGACTGCTTGCCTGTCCTGCATAGCTTTTCTATTGACAATTAGCATTAGTCAAGAAAAATAAACTAATTACAATGGGTTAAAAAGATTTAACTAATACACCTCCAAGAGGATGTTTGTCATGAGATCCTGCAAGGATTTGCTTGCAGTTCATAATTATTAAATATACTTCATACTACTAATCTACTGGTGTTGAAAAATTTAACAACAACAGGTCAGTTACACACATCAACATAAAGCAGTTTCGTAAGGTAAGCATATTTGACCAGTATGTGTCTGTTCTGGTTTCTGCTGGGATAGAGTTAATTTTCTTCCTAATAGCTGGTATAGTACTGTGTTTTGGATTTAGTATGAGAATAATGTTGGTAGCACACTGATGTTTTTAGTTATTGCTAAGTAGTTGTAGTGCTTATACTCAGCGAAGGACTTTTCAGCTCCCCATGCTCTGCCAGCGGAGAGGTGCACAAGAAGCTGGGAGAGGGCACAACCAGGACAGCTGCCCCAGGCTGGCCAAAGGGATATTCCCTACCATATAACTGCACGCTCAGTATATGAGCTGGAGATGGCCAGGCAGTGGGAATCGCTGCTTGGGGATGGGCTATTGATCACCGGGTGGTGAGCAATTGTTGCATTGTGCATCACTTATTTTTTAATATTTAGTTGTTGTTGTTGTTATTATTTCCTCTTCCTTTGCTGCCCTGTTAAATTGTTTTTATCTCAACCCATGAGGTTTTTTCTCAGATTCTCTTGGTGGGGAGGTGAGCAAGCGGCTGTGTGGTGCTTTAGCTGCTGGTCGGGGCTAAATCACAACAATGTCTTACTAATCATGACAATGTCTTACTTACTTACGTGCAAATGAATCATGAGAGCTACTGGCTTTGATTACAATCAGTCTTTTGACTCAGCAATTTTAGCGTGCCCACACATACATTCATAAAACCCACAAACATTGCATACTAGAAGACAGTAAAGCGTATGCATAATGGTCTAAAAGTATATCAGCTCTTAAGCTCATGGGTTCCATTTCTTCTCTATGTTTTTGTTTTGTTTCTCTGAGACAATCCTACTACACAGGTTGGATAGACCCAAAATGTGAATGGGAAGATAGTTCTGCTGTCTGAACAACCCCACTTGTGGAATCTGCAGGGCACACACAAAGGGGGTGACACCAGCAGGAGAGCTGCAGGTCTTTGGCCCAAAGGGCAGGTCTGTCATTGCCTGGAGGTCAAACCCCAATGCCCCTGAGCAGGATCAGGATCCCATTGCACAGCAGAGAAATCTAGTGAAATTGCTCAGGAACTTCTTAAAACTTTTGACTCTGGCAAAGTATACTTATTACACCCACACTCGTAAGAGACATTTTGTCTATGGGACAGACTTTTTTACCCTGGAACTTGGCTTCTGGAGTGCAAATTGCATGCCCTGTGGAAAATATTCATCTCTGGCCACAGCAATTGCAGACAAGCGTAACAATCTTAAGAACTGTGACATCTTTCAGCACTTACGGTAGCTCCTTGTTTCTCTATGTAGGCTTGACATACTCCTGATTTGTAAAATGGCATCTAAAAATAAAAATAAAAAATCAAGTGTCTGAAATTAAGGGATGTTTTAGTAAATCATAAATTAAATTCTGGTCCATCGGTGTCTTTGCTTAAGAAAAACATACTAAGGAATAGTTAAAGCAAACACCATATCCTATATTTTAAAGGAGAATGATAAGTAAAATTAGTTCAGGCATTTGTCACAGTGTAATCTCATTTCCAGCTCAAGATACATTAACAAGCAATCAAAAGACTGCTCAAAACAAAATTACAGAACTCTGCTCCTGCTGCTCTCATTGCGAATTTGGTGGCATCTTACCAACAGAGTCCATTCTGTTAAACAATATATTCACCATCTCAGAAAGGCCATTTCATAAAAAAAGTAGAAGACATAAGCTGTCATCTACATTACTGATACACAAAAATAAAATTTTGCTTTAAATGACATAATTTTAGTTATCCTTGATCCTCAAACAAAACACTTCTGAGAGAAACATGGATGTATATGTGACAAATAGCCATACTTTGGTTCAGGCTGGCCCAAAAGCAACAGGCCTCATGTCCTTGGGGTAAACTCGCAAGCTGGAAAGCCCCTGGCTGATGTACAAGGCAGTGAAGGTGTCTTGAAAAATATTTCAAAAGATGGTTTTGAACCCAAAAGTACAAAATAACCAAAGTACAGAACAAGGTATCAGAGCTAAACTGAAGGCATCTATCTTGTTTATACTATTGACTACTACTATTGCCTACAGCCAACTACTTCACCTTATAAATACTACATTCAGGACGGGCCCAATCTGAGCTCTCCCTGATAGGCAGCTGGACTGCACGCCAGGTGACTCTCTTCTTGAGAAGGGGAACCTCTCAAGATTAGAGAATCCTTACCTAAGACTAAGAGAACCTTCCTTACCCAAGGCAGAGAGATCCCTTATCCAAACAGATCCTCAGTAAGTGACTGATAGCATGCTGAATTAATATTATGAAACATTACTAATCCATGTAGCTTCTCAGATATTATAAACACTGTGTGGATAATTCCATACATGAATTGTTGACCAAGTCTGAGACTAAGACTAGATCCAGCCACATCTAGGCTCCAAAAAGGAGTTTAGAAAGCAAGGTGAGTCCACTCTGAACCCTGTGACTCAACAGGGGGGTCCTCTTTTCTCTTTGAGCCTCTGGTCTCTGTATGAGTCATTCAAACTCAGTTTTCCTGTGTATGTTTCTTCCATGCAGCAATTAATACGATGAACCTTGCCATCAAACTTATTGAACTCTGACAAATTATTATTTTACCTCAACAAAACATATTGCGGCTTTTCTCTTTTGAGATGCATTCTGCTCATCTGTGACAGTATGTAACTACATATACTTATTTACACAGTGATACTGACCGCCATTACAACCAAAATTTGATTTAGTGTTCCAATAACCGGTGCAGAAAGGATGTCTTGATGCAGGAATAATAACTGTCTATAAAAAAAAAGTTGGAAGAAAATCAAAAAGAATTTTCCATACTTGATTTTCTCAGCTTAAATTTGTTTTGCTCATCTTCTGCAAACATAATACATTCCATTTTTAATCAGTTTCCAGTGGTTCAGTATAATATATTGGACTAGTCCAAGTTACTTGCTCTTAACGCACTCACAGTGCTCTAAGATAAAAGCTACAGGCCTTTGGCACATGAACAGAACTCTCCAAAAGTGTTCCTTTTGGCAGAATCTCTCATTTCTTCCCTTTAAAGGGAATGACATAATTCTTGGTGAACACTAAGGAGCGTACATATGCTTTCCGAGTATTCTTTTCACTCAGTCTCAACCTACATAAAGCAATACAGTAACTCAAAAGATGTACCTAAAGCATTCCAGCTTTGCATGTGAACACAGATTAATTTTAACTACATATTAATTGAAAGTAGGTGGCCTTGTTAGTTTTAGCTGATGAAATTTAAAACATAATAGAAATGTGGGTTTTTTTCCCAATAGCCAGCAGGTCCCCCAAGAAAAAAAAAACTGTATTTTGAACAATTTTTTGCTGTTTGCTGTTGATAAAAATGTTGCTGATTTTATTACAGTTGATTCTAGTATTGCTAATAAAACCTTTGAATAACAACCACCAACATCTTCTGAAAATAATAACCCTCAGAACTCTTTACCTGCAAATCTTTATCTGTGTACTCCTTGTCTCAGTTTCCGGTATCTGAGAACTCAGTATTACTGTAGTGGCACAGAGTTTTTGTAGCGCCGGCAGATTGACAAAGAACAGAGACTGGTGCATTGTGTCATTCATGTTATATTGTTGATTGCCCCAAAGCAGCACCTGAGTCTTAAAAGAAAAATTTTAATTAATTTTTATAAGGCAGATATTTGTTTACAGAACTTTATAAGTATATGTGATCAGCTAAATGAATAATCAATTATCTTCTGATTAAGATTAGATAGGCAATATGACATAATTTGGTCAACTAAAACAGACAGCTCAATATACTTTTGCTATAAATAATGCATTATACTTGAAAAACTAATTATTTGTAAGAGTCAAAATATTTAGAGTAAATACAAGGACAAAAGAATCTTTTCCATCTTCTTCTTCCACGTTGGGGCTAGAATCTATCTGGGATCCAAGAGCTGAGGAATCGCTCTGCGATGCTGGTCCACTTCTTTCCGGCAAGAAAATTTAATTCCCAGGAGCTCAACAGAGATCTCTTCACTAAGTCATACAAAAACTGTGTCTGGCCTCTGGGAGAGAATGAAAACCACAGAAACATGGAGGCACACTGGAAATATTTTCCACTTTCCCCATACAAGGCTTCCTTCCAAGTGGTACAGGGAACTTGTGTGCTTCCTGCTTAAATCCATCTCTCTTCTCAAGCAACAGGTGAACACCGTATTCTAACCTAGGCAGAACTGAGTACGGTCTTACACTGGAATGGAAGCTGTACTAATCCAGAATCGCATTCAGCTATATGATTAATAATGAAGACAGACAAGTTGTTCTCCCATTCTTGCTCTCAAAGGAGAAATGCATGAAGAACAGCATTTTGTCTTGGTGGGAATTTTTAATAGGTACACTCCTACATATTTATCAAAAGATGATGAAAACCTAGCTGGTATTTGAAGTGGAATGTGATTAGACATACAGTGGTTCTACCAAAGCTGTCTCTCACATCATAAGCTTTGCCTTATAATAGAAATTACTCACTATATTTTGTGTTCAAGAGTGTGAGGCAGTTTTGGGCTCATCCCACAATCATTACTTTGAAGTACACATGACCTGATATTTCATGTGAAGTTAGAATACAAAGTACATGTGCGTTCATTGCATACCACTGAACAGATGGGCTGCACCTCTCTCATTTTTGGAACTTCCTAAAAAGCACCAAAAAGAAGAACCAAAAGAACCAGAATTTCAGACTGAGAATGTGATTCTTTGATGCAATGCTAAGAAATTTCATGTAAGTGGGAGTAATGTGAAGTTATGCCTGTTACCTGGCCTGTTGGATGCCTGCTGTATGCTCCTATGCATTGCAGCACAGGCCACGCTCAGTGTAAAGGAACTAGAATATTTATGACAAAAAAGAACATCTAACATGTCACTTTTTAAAGAAAATACACCTGTTAACTATAGCACCTTTCTCAATCCAAGTGTTTCAAAGAAAAACAGGCAGGTAGAAAGTCTGTTTGTTATGAAAAGCCAGGAACAAACACTGCACACGTGAAAAAGCTGTTTTAATAGTTCTCCTCACTCCAAACCCTAAAACCCTTTTTGGAAGTGGTCTTACCAGCACAGTGAAGACAGCAACAAATATTTTGTTTCCAAGTTTTATGAAGTCACCAGGTATTCACCTGAAAAGCAATTTTGCAAATCGTGATCAAAACGTGATGAACTGGAAACGTTTTTGGGGGAACAATGTCAAAGGTAACCTTGCTGTTCTGATTTTGCTTTGCTTACAGTGTAACACATTAAAAATATAAACTTCAGTAATATCCTAGAAAAATCACAAGATCAGTTTTTTATAACTGTAATTTTAAAGAAAATAATGTTTCCTTGTTTCTTACCCTTAAAGGAAAACACATTTCAAGTTTTTTCTAGCAATCATGAAAAGTAGAATTTTTTTAAATGCCAGCCAAGATTATCACTTCATCAGAGAATTCCAAAAGCTACAGCTTAAGAGAAAGGACCATTTTAAACAAATGAGAAAAGAATCTTGTTCATTTGCAACATAGAAAAGAAAGGCTGGGCCCTCAGCTTTCATAATGTTTAAAAGAATCCTAAATGGCCAACTTGTTTTTTTTTGTGGCAAGGATGTTGTAAAACACATGCTGCAACACTCCCGTGATCCACTTGCTGTTCCTGGCCAATTCCCCTGTGGGAATGACTGGCTGTATTCAACATTAAGTTAAAACTTCCCAGTCATCTTAAAAGCTAATGGGACAGAGTGCTTGCAAATGGCTTCTCCCTTCAGGCAAGAGGATAAAGAGAGAAGTACCAGTTAACATAGAACAACCAGTTATAAATCGTAGGAAATAAACCTGACTGCTGTCTGTACAAGTAGGAGAATTTAATGTGTGTGGGAGAAATTACATCTTTAGGTGCTGCCAACCACGAAACATTAACTTGAAACCACCACAGAGCTCCTGCTAAGTTGAACAGGACATCAGTCAGAGAACGGCTATTGCTGGTTTTCTGTCAGAACAGACAGGTAAATCAGAGCTTGGTGGCACATTTTGTTATTTGCAGTAACGATCTTATTAAAGCTGAGAACGACACCCAGCTGTGAGAGACAGTAGCTACTCTTCCCGTTAGGCTGACTGTAATGAACTGGAGATGGGATCTGCAGACTGTGGTGGCATTCAGCAAGGAAATACGAAGCTGCCCTGCACACCGATAACCAACAGCACATCCACAGGGTACAAAACAACTACCGAACCACCAGCTTTGAGGAAAGGGGTCTCAAGGTTACATTGGGTAAACTTTATGTCACTGAAGTTACGCTGTAAACAAACCCCACAGAGAACCCCCTTGGCCTCTAATCACACTGGAGCGGGGTTATCGCTGTCGTGGGACCCAAGCGGCGCACAGGCGCGGCCCAGTACCGGGTGCTGCCATGACGGGGACGGGACCCGTTCTGGCCCAGCCACCAAACAAAGCCATCAGACACGCCTGGGGCCAAGAGCGACGGCACCAGGTTTTAGTTTAAGCAAAGCTGAAGGAACACAGGGAGCTGGGTGGGTGGGTGGGTGAGTGAAAGGGCGTCACCGAGG